CTTCCAACTAATTTTGTATTTTTGTAACACCGGATACAAATATCCGTTCAACCAATTATATATATATATTTTATAACACCTTCCAACTAATTTTGTATTTTTGTAACACCGGATACAAATATCCGTCCAACCAATTATATATATATATTTTATAACACCTTCCAACTAATTTTGTATTTTTGTAACACCGGATACAAATATCCGTCCAAAAAATTTTATTACCTTACGTAATCTGTTGTAATCTGTTTCATTGTATATATATATATAAGTTCGTAACACATTCACGAACTAATAATATCAACATATTTTCTTTTACAGTGGTTTAACACTGAGTTACTCAGCATTCCGGAAACTGAAGTTATCGAATGGTCATCTGAACTGTTTGAGGTATTTTTTACACCGATACTGGAGGTAAGTACAAAAAATGACACAATTCATTTAAACCTTATACGTGTGCTTTCCAAAAAAGAACTAATAAAAATGGCCCTTCCTTATTACTAGGAACCAACCACCACTGCATATTATACCAAAATAAAACCTCCTAAGCCTTTTCGTGTAACTCCTCCGTCATAGTATTAACGTGACCGATTTTGCTTTTCTCCAGATTTTGCTCCGATTTCAAAAGATGTCAGTTGTTTTTGTGTGAAGGATTTATTTCATATTCACACGTGTCTAGACCTGCAAACTGGAAGGATTTCACATTTCTCTCCCCCCCCCCTCCCCTTTTTTACATTTAATTTTGTTTCATCTTTAATTTAAGCACGTAGCGAGAGGGCCTTAGTAATTTTTTACTGTAACTTTTTTGATCGGATCAGTGGTTGTTAAAGCGCCAATTTCAATTGTTTATCTGTGAAGCTGGTATTATTATTGTTGTGTTTGTTAGCGCAAAGCTACACAGTGGACTATTTACACTCTGTCCACCACATGGAATCGAACCCAGAATTTTACTATTGTAGACCGTATGTAAACTTAATGCTGACCAACCGACGAACGGTTGCTACTTACCTTTAAAATAGTAGTTTCTGTTTTGGCACAAAGTTACACAAAGTACTATTTGCGCCGTGTCCGCCGAGGGATCGAACCCCGAATTCTATGCCCTCGAGCTTACCGCTAAGCTACCGCAGGATTTTAAATAGCGAAAGCCGTTCGGTGTAATATGGTGGCCAATCAAACAACTAGGTGAGGTGTTACTAAAATATAACGTAATATGTAATAGTAATAATATTTTTACTTTTAGGCTGACTCCTCCAATGATGTTAGTCATCTCTTTGATGTTCATCCTTCCTCTGCTATCTTCTGGACCATTCTGGCATCGAGTAGTCGAGCGTGAAATACAACACTGCAGAACCACCTGGTGGGCGAATATGTTTTACTTTAACAATTTCATACGTAAAAATTCGTCGGTAAGTAAATATTCAAATAACCTTTATATAGAAATACGTACGTAAGTGGTCACATATCTGTTATTACATTCAGCACTGAGAATTTCACCTGATTTAAACGCGTAAAATTTGCAAGTATGTCTAAAGTCAAAGAGTGTATTTCTTACTGTTATTTCTTTGGTGTTTGTTTTGAATTTCGCGCAGAGCTACACGAGGGCTATCTGCGCTAGCCACGTCCCTAATTTTGCAGTGAAAGACTGTAGGGAAGGCAGCTAGTTATCACCACCCACCGCCAACTCTTGAGCTACTCTTTTACCAACGAATAGTGGGATTGACCGTCACATCATAACACCCCCACGGCTAAAAGGGCGAGCATGTTTGGTGTAACGGGGATTCGAACCCGCAGATAGCGAGTCGAGCACCCTTACCACCTGGTCATGCTGGACCTGGTACGAGACTGCAAGACTTGCTGCTGAGCCACCTGGGGGCATTATTTAAAACCCCATAATTTTAATTTTTGCTGCATAAAAATCGGGCACCGTACGTCGAATTCCCAATTAACACATTCTCTATTATATACGATGTTTACCTGCGTATTTATGATAAAATATTTCACCTGCAAACATCGACATTTGACCTCAACCTGGAATAAATAGTTAGAGAGACGAAAAAATGTCAAACCGTATATATTTGAATCATCAAAACGTAGAGCGACAATGTTAAATATTTAGTTTAATG